ACATGAGCCGCTATTTTGCCGTGTACGTACCCAGTGGGGGCCTCCCAGGTAGATCAGGAAATGCCAGGTCCAAGAACCTCGGATGTGTACTGGAGCTGTCGAAGCAGCGGTCGCAGCACGTCAAAGCCCGTCTGAAGGGTCGACCCCGGTACCAATCGGCAGCGTCAGCAGGTGCTCTTATTTTGAAAGGATGTCGTCTGGTTGTTAAACGGCGAAAATCTCCAACTTCACAGTTCTTAGTTTAAAGAAGAAAACACATCTGGCCAGGCTGTGCTTTTCTTTAGGATGACAGTGAATATAACTGAAGTCAAAATGGAACTGAGCTTAAAATGGCGTTGCCTTGTTTTATATCTCTGAATTGTTGATAAGTTTTAGTAAAGCGGATTGGACACTTTAAGTCAACAAGCCAGATTCTCCTGCGGCAGCCGAAAGCTCTGATTGGTTGGAACAATGTGTCATGCGTTTCTATGGAGATGAGGGTCAGTCTGTCTGTGCAGTTGTCCTGTTTTCATTAAACACATAAATCATGACATCTTTATTCCACAGATCATTCACTTGATTAATTATTGATCAACATCTGTTTCGAATAGCTTTAATCACAAATTAAGTACTTTGATTATTGAAAAGCTTCTTCTTCTCCTTCTGGCTCTTCTCCTGGAATGTAAACAGTCTGAGGAACACCCGACCTTGGCGTTTTCTACACGGGTGTTACTGTGCACAGGGGCAGCTGTGTGGAGCTGAAAATAATGAACTTCATAACCTTACATTTACTTTAAAAAAAGTTATCACATAGCTAACAATCTCCTTTGTTTTTCCATAATGGACGACGAAAGGTTGATTACTGAAGTGGAGAAGTACCCAATCCTGTATTGGCGATTATAAAATGGACAGAACATAAAACACAAACCATTTGGAGCCATGTTGTAGTTTTCTCCTGCTTGTTGTTGTGTTTACTGACAAAGTCACGCGTGATTTTGCTAATGTCGCGTGACTTCGTTCTCTGTCGGTGCTCCCCTGCTGCTTCGCGTCTCGGGGGAAGGGCCAAGCAGCAGCATACGCGAGCAAGACGTGCTGCTGCAGTAACTTGCTGCTGATGGCTCCGGTAGAAAGGAGGGCTAAGTCTACTCCCTTTCCGGTCGGCTCATGGGTCCCCCAGAAAAATAAAAAAAATAAATGCAAGTAAATGGGGCTAAAAGGCTATTTTCTAATCCACTTTGCCTTACGTCCTGGGTCACACATATGTTGTACTTCAATTTAAATGAACAGGAATGATGTGTGTTTCGACCATGCCTGTCACATTTACCGGCTTGTAAAAATTCATAAATGCTACAACTACAAATCAGACGTTGGTCTGTCGCATATATGACATCACCACAGAATCTCCTCTCCCCTAGTGTAGCTGCTACTTACCACATGGCCAGATTTACGGTGGTTCTTTACTCCTGGACAAAGGATTCAAAGCTCGCTGAACTTAAAGCCATTTTTCCTCCTTTTTTTCTCCATGTCTGTTTCAATGACGTCAATTTGGTGTTGTGCATTTATAGTCCTGGACATATTTTCACACAAAAACCCATGATAAATTTTGCCCTGTTTGAAAATAAGTTCTTTCTTGGCATCAGAATGTGTCTTTAAAATTTACGGACATCATATGTGAAATCCATGGCACATAACAAACGGGATTGGTCGAAACACCCGCCTTTACTTTTCATTTAAATTTATTTTCATACTTTGGGGCAGCAGTAGCTCAGGAGGTAGAGCAGGTTGTCCAGTAATCGGAAGGTTGGAAGTTTGATCCCGGCTCCGACCAAAGAATGCTGCTGTCGTGTCCTTGGGCAAGACACTTAACCCGCCTTGCTTGCTGTTGGTTAGAGGGGCCGGTGGCTCCAGTGCTCAGCAGCCTTGCCTCTGTCAGTGTGCCCCAGGGCAGCTGTGGCTACATCGTATAACTCATCCTCACCAGTGTGTGAATGTGTGCGTGAATGGGTGTATGACTGATTGTGTTGTGAAGCGTCTTGGGGGGGGGGGGGGTGAACCCTAAGAAGGTGCTATACCAATACAGGCCATTTACAATGAGTAACTTTCTCTTATTTTTATATCATTTTATTGAGCCAGTGTGCACTAAAATGACTCTTTACAGGGTTAATGAAAGGCCACCCCCTATTGCCCCCTTTGGCCAGAATATTACACTTCTAACCCTAACCCTAACTTCAGACTGGCGAGCAACTTTGTTGGGATTCCGAAAAAATGGAGCTGACATACCTAGTGGGGCAGCCTGGTTCTAGCACAGGGGTGCCCAATCCTGGTCCTCGAGGGCCGGTATCCAGCATGTTTTAGTTTCAATTCTGTTTCGGCACACCTGATTTCAATCAGCAGGTGATTAACAGGCTTCTGCGGAGCCTGATGAGATGCTGCACAGGTGATTCAACCAGTTAATCAAGTGTGTTGGAGCAGAAAAACCACAGAACCTACTGGATACCGGCCCTCCAGGACCAGGATTGGGCACCCCTGTTCTAGCATGTTTCCTGCGTGTTTTAGATCATGAACACAGCTGATTTGTTTAATTTAGTGATGAATCACTGCTGTAGACACTCATGAAGGCTGGGGAGACATTTCAGCTGTTAGATGAAGTTGTTACAAAGACGAACGCACAGTGAGGAAGAGTTTTGTTTTTGGTTCTACAAACAAACAATAGGGGGCGCTAAAAGCAAGCCAAACCTGCCTAGTTCACTTTTGATTAGACAGATTAAAATAGATTCATTGAAAGTTTTCATGAACAACTTTCATCGCTTGAGGTTGTTGTGCAAATATTACATTTGCAGTTTGGGAACGAAGTGTCTAAAATAAAAGTTTTGTCCAGGTTTGAAAACTACTTGAAATTTTCATTCGAAATAAAAAAAAATTATAATTGTTAAAAAGAAACTTCCAGGAGTCATGATTCTGAATAAATGTCTTATAAACAATGTGTTCCACAGTAGTTCTTCAAAGCTGTGGAACATATTTAATATTTCTTTATCACAACATAACTTTAAGGACATATGTGAACCGCTTTAAAGCTGTCTCTAGATACATTTCATTTTCATTAATTGTTTCAGTCACAGAAGTGCCCATTTCTGAGCTAAACCTGTGCACTTCAGTGAACCTATTTTCTCACTTTCTGTTTTGTTTGGTTGGTAATAATTAACACCAACAGGCCAAATTAAATCCAGTGATTTACTTTGTATAAACTGCTGCTGAGTTTCCACACACTTAAAACCTTTGCAAGCCTGGCAGGCAAAAACAACAAAAAAGGAAGATTAATTTAAAAAAAATTGTGAAACGTGTTGATTTTGTGATGCATTGTTTTCACCAAATACTTTGAAATGATGTTGAAATTATATTTATTAAAATTGTTAGAACGCCCTTTGTCACCGGTTCTGTTCATCACTTTTATGGACAGAATTTCTAGACGCAGCCGTGGTGTGGAGTGTGTCGAGTTTGGTGGCAGGAGAATCTCGTCTCTGCTTTTTGCGGATGATGTGGTCCTCCTAGCTTCATCCAGCTCTGACCTTCAGCTCTTGCTGGGTAGGTTCGCGGCCGAATGTGAAGCGGCTGGGATGAGGATCAGCACCTCCAAATCTGAGACCATGGTTCTCGACCGGAAAAGGGTGGCTTGCCACCTCCGGGTCGGGGGAGAGGTCCTACCTCAAGTGGAGGAGTTTAAGTATCTCGGGGTCTTGTTCACGAGTGAGGGTAGGAGGGATCGGGAGATCGACAGGCGGATTGGTTCGGCGTCTGCAGTGATGCGGACGCTGAGCCGATCTGTCGTGGGGAAGAGGGAGCTGAGCCAGAAAGCCAGGCTCTCGATTTACCGGTCGATCTACGTCCCAATCCTCACCTATGGTCATGAGCTTTGGGTAATGACCGAAAGAACGAGATCGCGGATACAAGCGGCCGAAATGAGTTTCCTCCGTAGGGTGGCCGGGCTCAGCCTTAGAGATAGGGTGAGGAGCTCGGACATTCGGGAGGGACTCGGAGTAGAACCGCTGCTCCTCCGGATCGAAAGGAGCCAGTTGAGGTGGTTTGGGCATCTGGTCAGGATGCCTCCTGGACGCCTCCCCGGGGAGGTGTTTCGGGCATGTCCTGCCGGCAGAAGGCCCCCGGGTCGACCCAGGACACGTTGGAGAAGTTACATCTCCAATCTGGTCCGGGAACGCCTTGGGGTCCTGCCGGAGGAGCTGGTGGACAAGGCCGGGGAGAGGACGGCCTGGAGCTCCCTAGTTGGGATGCTGCCCCCGCGACCCGGACCCGGATAAGCGGAGGAAGACGACGACGACGACGACGACGACGACGACGACGACGACGACGACGACGACGACGACGACGACGACGACGACGACGACGAAAATTGTTAGAACGCTTAGAGGGTAAACTCTAACTTATGCATCATGAGTTGCTGTTGTGATCAACTAATTTATTCAAACCAATGGCAGAAAAGGCATTTCATGTAACTTTATTTGCTTTTACACATCATTATAATATCATCAAATGCGTTGTAATACATGGCTGTACTGCTTTAAAAGAATGTTGATTTAAAGAAGAGATTTCACTCTTTATTAGAACATGATTTTGTTTTTAATGAAAAAGCTCTTTAGATTTTAATTTTATTCTCCTATTTGTTTAATTCTTTAGTTGTTCTCTGTTTACGGAATGCAAAAAGTAGCAAAACAATGTGGTAATACAACAAAGTACTTAGTCGTTTCATGTCCAAGACGATTCTTCATTTTCAGCCTCAACCTGCTTTTGCTTGATATTCCATCAGCATATGTGACATTGTCATCCATGAAGGTTATTGCCAAGCTGGTTGAATTATGTTGTCACTGTGGATGTGGTCTGTCTGTTTAGGTGACCGTGTTGATGTGTTTCTTTAAAATGGGTCCCAGCTCTCTCAATCAATTTTTATTTTCTGTTTGTTTCTCCAACGTTGTTTATTTTTTTCTCTTCTCTTCCTCTGTTTATTGCAGAGAGCACATCTGTTGGACAACACAGAGAAGCTGGAAAGGTCATCACGGAGACTTGAGGCCGGCTACCAGATAGCGGTGGAGACTGGTATGTGTTCTGTTATGGATTGGAAGCAGGAGTGGGGAGGTGTAGGTGGGGGGTTCAAGATAGTAGCAAGGATGAGTGAGCAACAGCAAATTGTCTTGCTCATGTGTGAGGTGGGTGGATGTGTGTGTTTTTGCTCAGAGTGTGTGTGTACATTTGGAGGGTTAGGAGTGTGTGTGTGGGGAGGGGTGGGGTGGGGTGGGACTGTTAAAAAAAAGAGTCTTTCCTTGACGCCTGATGGCATTTTCGGAAGCACATCAAAGATGAAGCAGGGAGGGAGAGGGAGAAGTGTACAGGCAGCAGATCGGGCGCTGCTTCTCCAGGCTCTGCTCCTAAAGAAAATTCAAGCATCCATATAGCCGTGTGTTATGTATGCACATGTGTTGGGCTGATGGGGTTGTGCTTTCTTTTTTTTTTTTTTTTTTTATTAGGGTGCAATGCATGCACATTGGGTTGGGGTGGGTGTTTTATGAAAATAAACAAAGTCAGCGTTTCCTCCTGAAGTTCTTAATTCAGAAGCGGAGAAGAAAGAAAATAAAAACACACCACTTTCTGTATCTAAAAACACACACAAACTATTTTCCCCCTCATTATCGTGGATGGTTTTAATCTTAAAATAAGAAAAAAAAAATCTCATTGGGATCCTAAATAGATTTAACCAGTTGGTATATGTATTTTTTCCTCTTCCTGTCTTCCTTCCTGACAGCCACCACATTATTGAGGCACAGTGTATTCCTCAGAGATATATCAAAGCTCATTCTTGAAGTATCAACCAGGTTTCTGTGGCTTCCGTTGTAGTTTTGAAAAACTTTGTCGATTTACACTATAATCGCGGGGTGGCTGGTGTGTGCGACATCGACAGATTTAATAATTCAAGTCAAGTAAGGTTCGCAAGCGGACCACCGGCTTTTGATGTTCTCTGTGACTTGCATTTGCAAATTCATAAATACAATCTGCGTTCTCTGCTTAAAAATGTTGATTCAAAAGCCTCAGTTGATTCTGACATTATTCCAGTTTCTCGACGGCGTCAAATTCTGCGACAGCGAGCATTTTTTTTTTACTCCTACCCAGCAACTTCCCTCGCTACAGCTTGTTTTGATCATTTGCCTCACAGCTTGCTTGTTGATGAAAAATTTGGCCCTAGCTTCACATTGTTCAGGACCCACTGGGCCCAGCAGTTTCTCCTGCTGTTGTTGGCCACATGCCCCTTGACCCTGTGTCACTGGTGGCTGTCGTACTCACACTATGTGAGGCTAGGTAAGAACAATGCTCGTTTATCCTGTCTTGGTCCCACACACTTGGCTTGGCCCACACCAGCTGTGGGGTGTGTTTGTGGTTTTGTGGAGAATCTTCACCCTGCGTCTTTAATCCATGACCCCCTTTCCTTTTACTCTGCTGTCGATATCAGCACTCCGCTCAGATGCACAACCTGGGATGGAAGCATCATCAGGTCAAATAGAGAACATATCTGCACGAGGAACTTGGATACACAGAAAATATGTGTTTACCAGATTTTTTTTACGCCTGTTTAAAAAAATTTGACACATGCACAAAAAACTAGGATTATAAAACCACCGTTCTCTTTAAATTTAACTTCACTTCTTCTTAGACCTCTATTAACATTACAATTTATTACAGGAGATGCTGTTTTTGTTATTACCAGTTTTTGCATCTTTATCTCCCAACAAAGTTTCTATGTGTTGTTCTCATCTCTTCCACTTAAAAAATGTAATAAGGAAAGAAAATCCCAAATAAGCCATGCAATGAGAAATTATTTGGCCACATTTAGCGCTAAGGTTTGTATTTTCTCATGACATGTAATGCCATGGACGACTTTTAAACAAGAACAATTAAAGCATTAAGCCATCCTCCAGTTAGACACTCCTGAGTCGCATACTGTAAATACTTTTCTTGCCACAGATCTCAGCTCCCCTCTAACATCTAAGCTGTGCTTTTTACATGGAGCTGTTTAACATTGTTATTTTTGCATTAATTCAAAGTTGCATTCCTCATCCACAATGACACAGTAACCCTTAAGAACCGCATTTGACCAATGGGAAGTGGAACTGGAGGACATTTTATTTCAAAGACAAGGATCCTGAACAAAGAAATGGCATAGAAACTCTTTTCTTATCCCCCTTTTCCCTTCAAACAATATAGTTTTTAATGACCAGAGAGAAAAAAGCCAGGATGCTTCTAGGTCACATTTAAGGCAAAAAGAGAAAGGATTCGGTTCTAAGAAAAGATGAATCTTGACACGGTGGTGTTTTTTCTTTTTCTTTTTTTTTTTTTCCTCAGATCTATTAACTTTTTTTTTTCTTTTGCTCCAATCTCACTATCTTCAGTTTGTTCGGATGAAAACAAAGGCTTGCCAAAAGCAGTGAGAGCTCTCAGAGGGATATCGAGGAGACTTTTTGGACATGTAGAGCTATTTAACACACACACCCTCAAGAACCAGGGTTTTCTGTTTGTCTCATAAATAAAATATAGAAGTTTATTAGTGAAGAGCACAGCCTCAAAAGCCCAGGCGCTGCAACAAGCAGACATGAGGGATAGCCCAGTTAAAGGGGGCAGCAAGTAAAGGGGGAGGGCACACAGTTACCACATTTAAAGACATTTCAGTCAAGAGCTTCTCAAATGCCCAAATGTATCAGCTTGTCAAATGTGTTGACTGATGTTTAATCAAAGACGTGCCAAATTTTAGCCCTTCACTCCAGGCATGAAAAGATTTTGAATCATTTATGATTGGTTGTTTAGAAATAGAAACAGCTTGTCAGATAAGACATCTAAGCTGCAAAGATTAGCCATTCTACCTTCTTTTTACCTCTAATTATTCATCGTAGAAGGGGGAGTTGAGGATTGATGGGCGGGCGATACAAGACACAGCAAACCAAATCATTATAGTCATCAACAAGACCTGTAAATACTGCACATTTGACACTAGTTTTGATTTTAAGTAAGCCTAATTCTACAATTTTTCCAATTTTACTGTCAGTATGCTATCAAATATGAATTGACTTTAAATTTGTCTCTGTTTTGCATGATAATATTACAAACCTTAGTTGGTTAAAATAAAAACTAAAGCTGAGGGAACCACAAGCTCTCCCTTTAAATTTTTAAAATATTTTTGATAGCAAGAGCAAATTTCGTCCGAGTTTTGGTGTTTAGAAACCGTTAACCTATCATTAGGAATTGAGTTTGTTTTAGATAAGCAACGAGTGTTTTTGGCCCCCAGGGGCCTGAGTTTAGCTCAAAGTTCACACAACTTTATTAAAATAGAGATAATCTGATTAAACATTGTTGGCCATGGTCCTTTAGATTTTCTTCTTCTTTTACTACATTCTTATTTTCTAAAGTCTGTAAATCTTTAATTATAAGTCACTGAATTTACCTAAAAAGTGAGAGCTAAGTGACGCTATCAGCCCTGCGGTTGCCACCTAGGCAGATGCATGAGGACTCTGTGATGATGTGATGTCTATATTAAAGGCTACATCGGCTTGTTTTAGAGCAGTTTGATTTTCATCTGCGGTGGTATTAAAAGACGAGGGGGGAGCGCCAACATGGCAGCTTTACCAACAGGATTTTAGCAGCAAAGCAAGGGGTGCCCGGACAACGAGATTTAAATAGATGAATGAGAAAATGGCAATAAATAAATATGTTTTTGTAAACATTAAGAAAAAAAAATCTTCATGAGTCCCTTTTGAAGCAAAGTGTGTCTTTGAGTCTTGCGGAGTGTCCACGGGTGCTGGAGTGGCCCAGTAACACAGCACACATTTGTCCCGACTCTATCACCCCTTCCATCTTGGTGCCTTTTTTTCTGTTTCTCTCCCACTTGCTCGCTTTCTCCCCCTTCCCTCTAAAGATCAGACCCACTGGTTCCTTTTTGTGCCGGGCCACCAAAGTGGCTCCACCGAACCACGAGCAAACACTCAACCAATGACATAATAAGTTACGTTTCTGAAGTCGGATTGTGTTTTAGCTCTGTGGAGATTTGAATTTACTCTTTAATATTTGAAATGTACACTTTGTCTAAGAAAACAAAAAATAGCTTTTCATTGCTGGTTTACATATTTAGAAAAAAATAAAATCTAGTAATTAGATTGTTAGTAAATAAATGCTTTTTATCAAGATAAACAATTTTAGGTGTTATTTTTTTAAAAATATATATCATTTTAAAACAATACAATTTTAAATGAGGTTGACAATATTTATTTGAAGCTTCATTTGATCTAGTATTGCAGTATAATTAATTTCTGGCATTTTTCTCCTTCAGTTTTTAAATATGTAAAATAAAAAGACAGTGTAAACCTTTTTTTTAAATGCGAGTGATTTTTTTTCTGTATTTTTAAAGTTTATTCTCTCTGTTCTACAATGTAGTTTGAATATTTTAAGTGTCTCTTTTTCATTTCTCTTTTTAATAGGACATTTGCTAAAGTGGATTTCCTTGAGGTACAGCATAGTAAATCACTTTTTTTGTAGGCTGATACAATCACTGTGTTGTTTTCTGTTCAAAAAGAATATGAAGTTATTTGATAATTGTTTGATTAATGGAGTCGAGAGCCAAGACTTAAATATTTCACAGCTTGAGTTTTCTGCTAACAAGAAAGGAGCCCTTTTAGAAACATGTTTAAAAGGGGGAAATGTTTCTCTATGGCTTCTTAAAATGAAAATAATTATTAAAACACTGACAAATGTAGTTTATATATATATATATATATATATATATATATATATATATATATATATATATATATATATATATATATATATATATATACGCTTCAACACATAACACCTCACTCTCAGAAAATGTAGCCGTGGGTGAGCTGTTTATCGGTAAACCCCCGGTGGATGAAAGGCGTAGCAATAATGATTTTTTTCTCTCCTAATCGGACCTTGTCAGCAAGGCGTCTTATCGTGGAGAGGAAAATGACACCGATCCTATCGAAGAGCCTGGAGTCCGAGTCGGCAGTGTGCGTCTCCCCCCAATCATGGCCGGCCGT